CAAACAAACAAAACAAAATGTACTTTTTTTTTTTAACTTATTTAATCTTAAAACTAAGATAACAATCCTATTTGTTGAGAATATAAATGATTTTTGAGAAAGTGATGGGATTGTAAATCTTCTTATTGTCTTGTGACATTTGGCTGTTACTGCCATGAAATCCCTATGAGTTTGACCTACCCACATCAATCATTAATCAAGAAAATGTTCTACAGATTTTCCTATAGGCAGTCTGTTGGAGGCATTTTCTCAATTGAAGTTCCTCTCCCCAGACAAAATACCTGTTTAGCACTGATTCTTTATTTGCTCAGGGGATTTTATTAACCCAGAAATACAATCCCTGACTCAATGTAGATGCTCTAGAGATTGTTTTGCAGATTAAAGGACTATATTTTGAAGGGCTGGAGAGAGAGATCAGTAGCTAACAGCACATACTGCTGTTGCAGAGGATTCAAGTTTAGTTTCCAGCAGGGGCCTGCAGTTCTAGCTCCAGGGGAGCTGATGCCTCTGGTCGCCAAGGGCACCTATACTCATGTGCACGTGCACCACACACACACACACACTTACACATAAATACTTAAATATATCTTAATAAATAAAAATGACTGGGCAGTGGTAGAGCATGCCTTTAATCCCAGCACTTAGGAGGTAGAGGCAGGCAGAGCTCTGTGAGTTGGAGGCCAGCCTGGTCTACAAAGCAATCCAGGACAGCTAGAGCTGTTACACAGAGAAACCCTGTCTCAAATAATAATAATAATATTAATAATAATATAATATAATTAATTAATTAAACAGATAAATAATAAAAAAATTGCACTCTTGTTTGTTCCATTGTGTGGAAGACCCGTGGTGTTAAGCTTCAGTTTCTACACTTAACTGTGAAGTCGTATCACCAGGTCTCAGATCAAATCCACATGCTAGACTGGAGGCTTTACAGAGTTGAACAAATGCAACATAAAAGCATGCAGTGCATCTTTGCATTGTTAAACAAATAGTCCACAGCATAAATGGATGTAGTACATCTTAAACTAATATTCCACAACATTTCCCCCTTTTTGTCTAGATAAAAATTAAAGGTTCTAACTTTAACATAGTAAAACTACATATCTATCTTATCTTAGTGGTTCCAAAGTTTATACCCAATTTACCACCTGTCTTAACTAAGGGAAACTACAACTCTTAACTATTTAGTCTTTAATTCCATCAAAGACCCCAGAAGGATGTAATATTACCTATCAAGAGAGCTATTTGGTTGCCTGGACAGTCACCCAAAGTTCCTCTGCAATGTTAGGGCATCCATCTTCAGTCTCTAGGCCTAGAGTATCTGGCAGACTTTTCAGTGAAGCAGGAAATTTGAAGGACTGTCCTGCCTTGTATTGGCAAAGTTCGTCAATCGCTTCCCTCTGGGTCCTGCAGAATATCTGGAGACTCTCCTGTGAAGCAGGAATCTTGAAGGACTGTCCTATCTTGTCTTTGCAAAGTTCAACAGTCTTTTTCCTGTGTTCCACTTGTTCAGTCTGTATAGCATATTGTCATCAGTCAAGGCAATAACAGTTTCTTGCCCTATTGGCTAGCCTTGCCCCATTGAAAGCAAACTTCATGTAGAGTTTTTTCAATATCCATCAACCTTTTGTGAAGTAAATTGGTGCTGCCAGGAGCAGATGTGTCTCATTGTCCTGAAAAACCTTAGGTTATTAAACATCTTAAATGCCATATTCTATAGTCTTTGAAGTGTTTGAAAATCATCTATCTGTCTAAAATATACCTGTTTAACCTTAAAAACATACTTAATGTGACTACAAGTTTGATTATTATAGATTAACTACTAACTTCGTTTCTTAATTATACATTACATTTTTAAATGAGCTGCATAAGCACAATACCCCAAACAAGAGTAGAAACATATATACAGAATAACAAGAATAACTTTAATGTTCTATCAATATGCCAAAATCCATGCCAGTGCAAAATATCAGAGATTAATAGTTGTCTTTTTATCCTATATTTCTATATTCCCTAAATGATAACAAACATCCATAACCCACCAAATAACCAAAAACCACCTACCCCATCTCTTGGGAATGTGGGTGTTGTGTTCTCTAGACTGCTTCCTGTTGTCTGTGGGTGGAGGCATCTTTAGGAGTCCCTGAAAAAATTGAGATGATGGCCAAGTCCTGGAAAGACCAGTTGTAACCTTTGTTGATATATATCACCTGTCAAGATTCAAGAGGTCTTCCTCAATCAAACCTGATCCACATTAACCCTGAAAGAATCCACAGCCTCTGGTTTTCTATGGAAACAAAAGCAAAACCTCTTCTCCAATGTAACACATTTTTTTACTTCTTTTTTAAAGTTAAGATAGCCCTCAAATATCTAGACTGGTTCAATTTAGGAGTCCAGTTCACAGTACCACGTCTGTCAGCTGCTGTCGTTTGCTAATCAGCCTTCAAAAAATTCAGTATCAACATAACATTATACAGGATCCAGACTCCCTGTGTATTTCCCACCTCTACATGGCTATTCTTTTTGTTTGTTTGTTTTTTGAGAAAGGGTTTCTCTGTGTAGCTTTGGTGCCTGTCCTGGATCTCGCTCTATAGACCAGGCTGGCCTCGAACTCACAGAGATCCGCCTGGCTCTGCCTCCCGAGTGCTGGGATTAAAGGAGTGCACCACCACCACCACCACCACCACCACCACCACCACCCAGCATCAGCAGAGCTTCTTAAATGAGCTGTTTCCAGTTTTTGCTTGTTGTTTGTTTTGTTTTGTTTTAGCTTTCTCAGGCCCTATGTGGAAATTCAGGTCCCACATTGGAATGCCAAGATGTAGTTGTAGTTTTTTTTCCTTACTCTTTTGGGGCCTGCAGCCCAGCTCTCAAATAAATACATGGAGACTTATTTTTAACTTATGAATGCCCAGCCTTAGCTTGGCTTGCTTCTAGCTTTTCTAACTTAAATTATCCCATTTCTCTTTAATTATGTTTTGCCTCTGGGCTTTTGACCTTTCTTTATATCTTTCTTTCCTTCCTTCTTACTCCATGGCTGGCTGGCTGGGTGGCTGGCCCCTGGCATCTTCCTCTCCTTTTCTCACTCCTTGATCGTTCATCCCTAGATTTCTCCTCCTACTTATTCTCTCTGGCTGCCAGCCCTACCTATTCGTCTCCTGCCTGTCAATTGACCATTCAGCTCTTTATTAGACCAGTCAGGTGTTTTAGACAGACAAAGTAACACACAGCTTTACAGAGTTAAACAAATGTAACATAAAAGACTGCATACATCATTAAACAAATATTCTACAGTACAAATGAATATAACACATCTTAAACTAATATTCCACAACAAGTTCTCTTAACTGCTAAGCCATTTCTAGCCTGGCTGGTTTTTTTTTTTTTGTTTGTTTTTTTTGATATTCCAGTATTTTCTGACCCCTAGATTTTGGGACAAATTACTTTCACCATACTAACAATGAGATACCCAGTGAGGAATTGGGAGAAATAGCAATGATCATTTCAAAACAGAAACTCTAGAAAAGTAGGTTCCTATCTATGAGATATTTGCCATCCCATCATGGGCCAAATTTCTTACTTTTTTTTTTTTTTTTTGATAGTGTTTCTTGGAGCCCAAGCTAGTCTCAAACTCCATGTGATTTATGATAGGGTTATAGTCCAATAAACCCATTCTAAGTGGGAAGTATATATAATATACCTGGCCTCCCAGACACCCCAACACAGCAACATAGAGTGGTGTGCAGTGCCCACCATTCCTGTGGCCAGGAGACTGACTGGGAGCTGAGGTTCACTGCATTACCCAGCATTCTCACTAGCCTATAAAAGATGAAATTTCAAAGGAGTCTTTCCACTGACTGTTGGCTACTGCAGCACCATTGTAAAGTTAAGCTAAGGTAAACTGGGACCTTTTGAGATGGATACCCAGCCCATTCCACTTTCCAAAGAAAGCTGAGTACCTTTCTCTGTTGCTTATGAAAATGTACAAATCAGTAATGAGTCTCTCAGACCTGAAAACACAGCCTCTCTCCCCTGTGTGACATTGGTCCCCTCCTTGTCCTTCCAAGGGAAGATGACCTGTGGCTAGCCTAATGAATTGTATGTTCCTATTCCTAACCATAGTGCTGATGCCTCTTCCTAGGGTCCTATCCTTCCCCCAAAGCTGGAGCCACACTAGTCGTGTATAAGGACTTGCTAGTGCTATTTGGTGGCTGGACAAGGCCAAGTCCCTATCCCTTACACCAACCAGAGAGATTCTTTGATGAAATCCACACATACTCACCATCTAAAAATTGGTAAGTCACAAAGATAATACATTCTATATCTGGAAGAAATGGGTTTCATTGTATTACTTTTTTGGTTTGTATGTGTGTGTGTGTGTGTGTGTGTGTATGTGCGTGCGCGCGCGCTACAACATGTATATGGAGTGCAGAGAACAACTCTAGGAGCCATTTTATGTCCTTTAACCATGTGAATCCTAGGGATCATACTCAGATTATTAGGCTTGGTGGCAAGTGCCTTTGCCCATCAAGCTATCTTGCTGGCCCAAAAATGGAGTTTAAATCAATGGATTTAGTTTTTGTGTATCAAGAATCCCTTGGAGGGGCTGGAGAGATGAAGAGAGGACCAGAGCTCACTTCCCAAGTTCTCAGCTCCAGAGGATCCAACACCCTCTTCTGGACTCTGGGCATCCCATCCCCCACCCCCAACACACACACACACACACACACACACACACACACACACACAGCATATACTCACATAGACACACATTTATATAAAAATAAATATTTTTAAAATTATTAACGCAAAACAACAGAATCCCCTGAAGAGCCTGATGGAAACAAAAGTTCTGTCCAGGCGGAGAGTGCACAGCAGAAGCTTCCTTCTGGATTGAGATGCTTTGCAGTGCCCTTTCCTCAGGAGAAGAAGTAGAAGAGCTCTGGTTGTCTCTGAGGAAAGTGGGCAGGCCAGTTGGAGAAGGCCTTCTCAGTTTCATTAGTTCCACTCCAGGAGCACAGGAGCAGTGTGCACATGGGGACCCCTGTGGACTGCCACATTCTCAGACCAAGCAGGTTGTTTCTCACACATGTCTGTCTTATTTTGTGTTTCTGGTTTTTCGAGACAGTGTCTCTCTACATAGCCCTGGCTGCCTTGGAACTCACTATTGTAGACCAGGTTGGCCTCAAAAGTCACAGTGATCCTCCTGCCTCTGCCTCCTGAGTGCTGGGATTAAAGATGTGCACCACCACGCCTGACAGACATGTCTGTCTGTCTGTCTTTCTTTTTTATTTGCACTGGTGTTTGGCCTACATGTGTGTCTGTGAGGGTGTCAGATGTCTGCTAGAAAGGTGACGACAGCCTGTCTAAAGTGGATGCCACTAATCCTTTATTCCTTAAGCTTTCAAGATGGCTAGGTGGTTCTGACTTTCTCTTCTTCCTTCTGCTTTCCACTAGGTGGAACTGCATTGTCACCACCCATGGGCCTCCTCCCATGGCTGGCCATTCCTCCTGTGTGATAGGTGACAAAATGATTGTCTTTGGTGGCTCTCTAGGATCCCGGCAAATGTGAGTATTTCTGATTTGCTAATGTAAAGGTAGAAACTCCTAGACATACCAGGCCAGGAAAGTGAACTAGGCACAGCATATCTCTGAACATAGTTCTCCTCAACCTAGTTAGCTACTTCCTTCCAGCCTTTAGTTCTTTGGTCTCTCCATCACCAATCACTAGGTTGAAAATCTCCACACAGTCAAGGTTAAGTGGAATTTCTTTCTGTTTAATCCGATGGGGTCAAGTTCTTGTGAAGCCTCCCCCTTGTCTACTATCTTGAGCCTATAGAAGGTCACCTTCCAAGAAGCAGGCTGCCCTGTTGCCCAGCGCAGGCCCTCCAGGAGAAGGAGAGAGGCATAGTCACAGGATAGGTAGAAATCATGCACCCTCCAAATGGGATAGGAGATTGGGAGAGTGAGTTAGAAATGAAACTGTCCAGCCACTGCCTTCCTTATCACTGCCCATCCTGTGAAGTCCAGAGCCAGAATAGCAGTTCATCTGCATTACTGGTGTGAGTAGGAACCACAGGAATTTTCTATATGTTCTGAATAAAATGGGGAGTTGATGAGCCATCAAGAAAGCAGACCCAAGCTTGCTCTCTGACAGGACTCATGGGCTTTGTGTTTTAAAATAGTCATGGAGGGGCTGGAGAGATGGCTCAGTGGTTAAGAGCACTGACTGCTCTTCCAGAGGCCCCAGGTTCAATTCCCAACACCTACATGGCAGCTCACACCTGTCTGTAACTCCAGTTCCAGGGCTTCTGATACTCTCACACAGGCATACATGCAGGCAAAACGTTAGTGCACATAAAATAAAAATAATAAATTATAAAGTGGCCAGCCTAGTCTACAAAAAAAAAAGTTATGGAGGAGTTTAGGGTTATTCTAGGCTACATTTAAGGCCAACCTGGGCTATATGAGAACCTGTCTTTAAAAAAAAAAAAAAAAGAAAGAAAGAAAGCAAAACAAAAATGTAAATTAAATATAAAATATTTATGGAGAGAAACAAAAAAAGGAACTGCCCTCCAGATGCGAGAGGGTTTAGGGTTTAAGTTTGGGATTACTTATTTTGTATTATATTCTGTAAGTAAATAGAAGACCTTAAAGAGATAACCATAAACTAGAGACTGCCAGCCAGGAGTCAGTCCTTGCCCAGATTCCTTCTTCTTTTTTCTTTCTTTCTTTTTCTTTTTCTTTTTCTTTTTCTTTTTTTTTTTTTTACAAAGTCTTACTTATAGCTAACTCTGTCTGGCCTTGATTCATGCAATTCTTGGCCTTACAAGTACTGGGATTGCAGTGGGGGTGGAGAGGCGAGATGTCCATGCCAAGGTCATACTACTTCTTTCCTTTGGCAGGAGAGGTTGGTGTTTTGAGACAGGGTCTCTGGCTGGCCTGGAATTTATGTAGACCAGGCTAACCTTGAACTTACTGCTGTCTGCCTGTCTCTGCCTCCACACCCAGCACTGCTGCCTTCTTGAGTTGAATATAGCAGTTGGTTCCTGATAAAACTGAAGCTTTTAAGCCAGGCGGTGGTGGCACACACTTTTAATCCCAGCACTTAGGAGGCAGAGATAGGTGGATCTCTGTGAGTTCCCTGACAGCCGGGTCTACAGAGCAAGTTCCAGGGCAGCCAGGACTGTTACAGAGAGAAACCCTGTCTTGAAAAACAAAAACCCGATGCTTTTATGAACCACTGTGAAATACTCTGTTGTCATGATCAGTGGAGCCTTTTTTAGCTCCTGCACCGTGATAAATGCCTTCAGGATCATTTTTGTCTCTCTTGTGGTTTTTGTTTTTGAAAGGTGGTCACTTGACCAACTGCCCCCTGCTTGTACTTTGGGTCCAACATGTGGCTGCTCACTCAACTCAGATAAGACCTCATGGCCACAGAGGGATAAAAGGTTGCAAAGTCCCAAGATGGGGTCAGTGCTGAGTGTGTGCTGACACCTTGATAATGTAAATAGTTTTTCCGGTTCTCTGGTGCACCCTCCCTCCCTCCCCCCCCTCCCCCCTCTCTCCCCTCTCTCCCTCCCCGCCTCGTTTTGTTTCCCAAGACAGTTTTCTGTGTAGCCCTGGCTGACCTAGAACTCATTCTGTAGACCAGGCTGGCCTGAGACTCTGGCCTCTGCCGCCCTGTACCTCCCCACCCCCACTAGGGTTAAAGACATGCTCCACCACGCCTGGCATATGCCTGGTTTCTGTCAGTTCTGAAGATCAGCAGTGTTTCTGTTTCATAGGAAAGGAAACCAAAGGTAGAGAAAATAAGGATTCTTGTTAAGGCTACAAAACTAGGGTTCAGCCACGATTTTTTTTCTTCTGAAGCCCCTGGACTCTGAGGAAATCATCTCTGGAGCCTCCAGCCCAGACAGGCTGTGTGTATGAAAGTGGTGTAAGTTTCCCCGCTGGGCACAGGCACAGAAACTCCCAGGCACCACTGTGCTCCCTGGAGCTCTCAACTTCCTTATGACTGTGTTCTTATCTCACAGGAGCAATGAAGTCTGGGTCCTTGACCTGGAGCAGTGGGCGTGGTCCAAGCCGAACATCTCTGGCCCCAGTCCTCATCCACGAGGTGGCCAGTCCCAGGTGCTAAAGAGTTTTAACTATTGAGCAAGCACTGTAGTTAGTTAGTATCTTCATGGGAATGAGATGAGATACTCTGTGCAGTAAACCAAAGAGAATTTCTCTTTTTCTTTTCTCTCTCTCTTTTTTTTTTTTTTTTTTTTGGTGCTGTTTGTTCTCAGCTTCTATTGCTGTATTACTTATAGTGGCCTTAGTGGGGTTTTATTTCTTAAGAGAATTCTTCATTTTCTGTGATTAACACTCTTGTGTTAATATTTTCTTAAGTTAGAGTATGTCTGTTCAAGGGTCATCAGTTCAAAGGGCTAGCATTGATGTGGGTTGGGTAGAGTGGGCAACTGGAAAGCTCACTGGGAGCTGGGCATGCCATTTGTGTATGTCACTGAATCATGAGTCAGATGTCTGTGTCTTTGTAGGTTGATTTTAAATTTCTTCATCTTCCCAGATTGTTATAGATGATGCAACTATCCTAATCCTTGGCGGTTGTGGCGGTCCCAATGCTGTGAGTATTGCAGTGACTCTGCCTCAGCGACTGGAAACATGTTTGTCCTACTTGTTTAGTAAGATAGAGTCCTCCTTGGGCATGCTGACTCAGAGAACACCCTCACACTTTGAGTAGATAGCTTTTGTATTTTCTGCCCTTTTCTCTGTTCTTTTTTCCGGGGAGTGGAGGGAGAGGTACTTTTGACTAGAAACATTGGTCTCTTACTCATTCCTCAGTTCCTTCTAGCTCTGTTTCTTCTTTAAACTACAAAGTTTGCCAATAAAGGGGGCAGTGGGGGTAGAAAACAGGTGGATAACCAAAGTCCACACGGAATTTACTTGAGAACGCAGACTGAGAAAGTTAATGGATATATTATTGCTTCCCTGTGCGTGCGCGCGTGCACACACACACACACCAGTTACAGTTGATGTATGGGTAACAGTTCCATGTGCCAGGACAGTCAGTGGCCATGTGTGAGTGAATGGAGGCAGGAGTCATAGATGCAGACAAAGGCAAATATGAATAGCTGAGGATTTAGGATGTCTACCCTGCAAAGCCCACACACTTTCATCCAGGTAGCACAGCTCTAAGACGATAGTTCTGTCACACAATAATAAGTCAATGTCAAACAATTGTGGGACAGCAGTTGTGTGTGTTGCAGCACATGCCAACCCTGAGTTCTGCCCTTGGGCCTTCTCTTTCAGCTGTTCAAAGATGCTTGGCTGCTGCACATGCACCCAGGTCCCTGGGCCTGGCAGCCACTCAAGGTAGAAAATGAAGACCATGGTGCCCCAGAACTGTGGTGCCATCCAGCCTGCCGGGTAAGTGGGGAATGAGTAGCCAGCAGGAAATGCCCTCAACTGAAAAACCAAAATAATTTGTTAGACTTACAGAAGTAGAAACCAGTTTGGTGTCATGTCCTCTTTTAGTGTTTCCCATGTCCATGAGCTGCTTGGTTGGAGCACATAGGTGTACATCGTTTTCCTTCTAGCTTTAAGGATCTGTTTGTCTAAGAACGTCCCCAGGTCCCTCACACAGATGCCCCTCTCCCGCAGCCATGGTTGATGACAGCGCCTCACACTGTAGCAGCAATCATCCTCGTCTGCCTGCCTTTGTAGCCAAAGCCACTGTTCCTTTATCTCCACCGCTCAGGCCTACAAACAGCTGGCCTCCGTTCCCAGTGACCATGTTAGAGATAGTTGCTAGGGTGATGAGAACTGTAGGCGAGGCTGTGAGCACAGGTCCTTTGTCTTCCAGGTGGGACAGTGTGTGGTGGTCTTCAGCCAGGCTCCCAGCGGGAGAGCGCCACTCAGCCCCAGTTTGAACTCTCGCCCGTCACCTATCAGTGCTACTCCTCCAGCCCTGGTTCCCGAAACCCGAGAATACCGCTCCCAGTCCCCAGTGAGGAGTATGGATGAAGCTCCTTGTGTTAATGGCCGCTGGGGAACACTGAGGCCCAGGGCTCAAAGGCAGACTCCCTCGGGTTCCCGGGAAGGGAGCCTCTCCCCAGCCAGGGGAGATGGCTCTCCCATCCTCAACGGTGGAACCTTGTCTCCAGGAACAGCCGCTGTCGGGGGTGCTTCCTTAGACAGCCCTGTACAAGTGGTATCTCCAGGCACCCCATCTGCCTCTGAAGGATATGACCTAAAGATGGGACTTTCTCTAGCCCCCCGACGAGGGTCTCTGCCAGATCAGAAGGACCTGAGGTTAAGTTCCATTGATCTGAATTGGGACCTGAAGTCCGCTTCCAATAGCAGTCATGTGGATGGTCCCGACAGCAGGACAGTTGCGGGGAGTGTGAGACACCCTCCAGAACAGACCAATGGTGTTCACACCCCTCCGCATGTGGCCAGCGCCCTTGCAGGGGCTGTATCCCCCAGTGCCCTGCGTCGCAGTTTGGAAGCCATCAAAGCGATGTCATCCAAAGGCCCCTCAGCCTCGGCCGCACTAAGTCCTCCTCTTGGGTCTTCTCCAAGCTCCCCTGGGAGTCAGAACCTGAGCAGTGGAGAAACAGTACCCATTCCCCGCCCAGGACCAGCCCAGGGAGATGGTCATTCCTTACCCCCCATTGCCCGACGCCTGGGCCACCACCCTCCACAATCCCTCAATGTTGGCAAACCCTTGTACCAGAGTATGAACTGCAAGCCCATGCAGATGTATGTGCTGGACATTAAAGACACCAAGGAGAAAGGCCGGGTCAAATGGAAAGTCTTTACTAGCAGTTCTGTGGTCGGACCTCCCGAAACCAGCCTGCACACAGTGGTACAGGGCCGAGGAGAGCTTATCATATTTGGAGGGCTCATGGACAAGAAGCAGAATGTGAAGTACTATCCAAAAACAAACGCCTTGTACTTTGTGCGAGCAAAGAGATAATGTGTTCAAAGTCCTTTCCTTTCTGTGGCTTTTCATTTGGAATTTCCAGTGTACAAGCGTTTGGACTGAGACTTGGGAAAACAACATGCTCCCACAAACCAAAACTCCAATTCCACGCCTAACTCACTCCAGGCTGGGGTCAAATCTCCATTAAGGAAAAGATTATATATAAATATATACAGATATATTCTATAGCCAACTCTGTTTACAAATAAAGGTGAGATCTCCGCCGTCCTGGTTCAGATCAGCTGTTGCTGTCTTAGCGGAGGCTGTGCTGGCCTTTTCTACTCTGCGATAACCGGACCAGGAAGTGAGGGACAGACTAACAACAGTAACTTCCCACAAGAAGCAAGCTGAAGAGCCCCCGTGATCTTTCTGTGGCCTTCTCAGACAGGACCCCAAGGAAGAGGCTTCCGACGCTGTGCTGCAGGATCAGAGTCCTTACAGAACACAGTTCTTCCCTGTCCTGTTTAGACCACAGAGGACCTGTGACGTTCTGCAAAAGCAGCCTTGCCTGGTCCCTTCTGTGATCCAGAGACGATGTCACCCAACAAGAAATAACACTGTTACCTGTATGCTGGAGTCACGGTGGAACAATGTTTATAGAGCCGCCATCCATCCGTCTGCCTCCTTCCTGTCCGTTATCTTTTGAGTTCTCCCTATATGTCTCAGCAAACATGCAGTGTCTGATTATGGGATTTTCTGACAATCGTGTTTGGTTGCAAGTTGCCAAAAAAACATATTCTTTTCCTTTTAGAATTGGGTCCTCAGGGGCCTCTTTTCTGTCTGTAGGCTGCTCCCCTGTCCTTTGGTGGTTTGCTTTGGTTTGGAATGTTTTACTTTTTGTTTTGTTTTGGGCATTTGACCTTTTTTAAAAAGCATCTGTTGCTCCTGCTTCTCTTACAAAGCTCCAGTGTCTATAGAGTCTGATGCTCTCGAGCCTTCCATCGCCAGGGGCCAGTATCCATCTCAGTGTCAGGGCACACACCTGTAATCCTCACACTCGGGCAGAGGCAGGATGATGGGGCTAGCCTGGGTTATATGATGAGACCCTGTCTCAACAAAACAAAGTAAACTTAAAATGCCAGTACCGTTTTTTTTTTTTTTTTTTTTTTAAATCTCTGAAGCATCAAAAGACACCTCTTCCTCCCCCCCCCTCCCATTCCACTCCCCCAAGGCAGGGTCTCACTATGTAGCTCACAGAGATCCTCCTGCCTCTGCCTCCCAAGTGCTTTGAGGAAAGGCATGTGCCACCAGGCCTAGCTCAGAAGATTGCTTTTTCTGTTTCTTTTATCTCCACATTACAGTGGGCACACCCATCCCTATTAGTAGAATGTAGAAGTTGATCTTAAAAGGGAATCTGGGAACAGTTCCTTCCAGAAAGGGTCCCACTGTGACACACCTTCTGCTGTGCTGTTGACAAGTGGCTGGTTTGAGAACCACGTCCTTGACCTTGGAGATCCATGTTGACCTGGGAGCAGCTCCATCCCTCATGCTGTCTTTTTCTTTTGTCCTTCAAACAGGGCCTTGGTTTGTACTTTCACTCATTTCCTAGATAAAGTACAGGCACCCAGGAGAGTGTTGATTTTGTTCAGAAGACGACACTGGAAATTACTAGTCTTTAAACCATAACCTGGACATAGGAGACATCAAAATAGGAGTATTTTAAATGGCTGTGCAACTATGGATTTGGGTGGTTTCTCATCAGTGGTAAAGGATTTTCATTTTGCCTTTAAAACCAAAATTGAAACAACAAAAAGTGTGTTCCCCAGCCCCTCTCTCTCCCTTCCTCTTGTCTCCCAGGCACAAGGCCACTGCTGCTGGCCCGGGTCCTGGCTCACAGCCAGCGCTCTGCCTGTCGGACAAGTGTCTCCTGCTTCATGCTCAGGCCTCTCTTCGCCATTAGCTTTGCTGTGATGGTCCTGGCAGGAAAGTCTCCCTGTGGAAACCCAGGGAAGGGCTGGCTCTCGAGGAGAGGCATGTGCTCTGGAGCTGCTCCCGGAACACCCCTGTGCCTACTTCCTGTGTCCCACCGCCCCAGGTCCCTGCCCTGTTGCTTCCTCCAGTCCTTTGGCCAAGACCGTTTGATCCCGCGGGGCCCTGACTTAGAGGCAAGGCCAGCGGATGAGCAGCCTGGCATCGCTGCCCCTGGCTGTGGTGTGCTTGCACGTGGACAGTGCCTGTGGACTTGCTTTCTACTTAGACATCAATAGTCAGACACTTGGAAGTTCAGAAGCTCCACTTCTGTCGTCTTTCTGTTTCCCTTGTGGCCTTCCGAAGCTGGCTGTCAGCTGGTGACTCTTCTGCTTTTCCCAAGTAGGCAGACAACAGAAACATTAACCTCTTAGAACTCCGGGTCCTGGGGCTGCCCTCACTGCCGAGAGCCAGGTGTCTACAGTCCCTCCAGAGAAAACAACAGCCTCGCCTGCACACAGCAGGGTAGGACTTGGTGGTCCCTGAGCACTGTGGATGTGTGCTGTGGGAAAGTGACTCGGCAGTCAAGATGGTGGGCTCCTCAGCCGCGTGAGACTGGATGTGGCAGAACTTCCGGTGTCTCCACAGAGGTCAGCGTTCCCACAGCACTGTCAGTTCAGATTTAACCACAACTCCTTTTGTTGACACGATACCAATTTTGTCTTAAAATTCGCTGAGAGACATGAGGCAAAATATTTTGTTTGAACCCTCAGGAGCACCTAAAGCAAATATTTATCAGTATTTAAGTATTTAAAAATACATCTTGTTTCTACTTGAAGCTTTAACCCTTTTCATTCCTGCAAGTGTGCCTTTGAGAGCCCTTGGTCATATTAACTTCAGTTATTTTGCTGGCCTCGTGTGAGCGTTCTGGGCACTGCTCTGCTCCTGCACAGAGCTTCCTGTTCATTATCCCACACCATGCAGCAGAGAGCATTCGTTTTCATTCCCCTGTCCGCCTTTCTTCCTCACTTGGGGTGAACAGGTCACAACCCCATCTCCCCCCACATTGTGGGAGCGCCAATAAGGTACAGAAACAAACGCCAACTTTGTTTAGGATAATGCTGGGGCGTGCTCTCCTCCCAGCCCTCTGTGGCTTGATTGATTTTAATGTTTGAGCTGTAGCAAGAACTGAAGCCAGGAACTGTGGGAGAGCGCCTTGGAGCTCCTTAAAATGCAGGAGAGGAGAAGAAGGGGCATCGCAGGAAGACTCAGCTGTGAAGGACGGAAAGTCACCGACAGCGGAACAAGGGGGCCTCCTTCCTTTACCACTCTTTCTAGGTTTATTCTCTTTGCTTTTTCCCTTTTCGAAGTGAATCACTGCTTGGTTTGTCCATCTGTCTGTCCTTGTCCTCATGGTGACCCCAGCATGGTGACGGACTCTGTGTTATCTGTAGTCTCACCAGCGCAGAAGACGGTGGGAAGATCTGAATGGTCCAGCACCAGGAAGCCTGGCCTCAGTACTTCATAAGGCATGACCTGCTGTCACCAGCAGGTGACACCACCGTCCTTGTGAATGAAAGCCAGCCTCATCGGCTCCACTGTGCTCGCTCTGCTCGCCTGCCCCCTCCTACCAACCAGGGCTCATGTCAGTGTGCACCCACCGTGCCCTGGCGAAGCTGGTGCTGTGAGTGATGTTTCCCATACAACTCAGGGGTGCCGGGTGGCTCGCCCTGATAGTCATTGTAGGCACATCACAGTGTAGGAATGAAAATGGAACCCATGGATATTTAAATCTGTCAATCTCATTTTTGTTAATGTTTTCCCCTGATGACTTTTTAGCAGTTTAACAAATAAAACAAAAATGGACTGAATTGTCTTGACTGTTTTATTAGCACAGGAAAGAAAGGGGAGCGGAATCCCCGGGATGGGGGGCAGTGGGAGGAAACAAGTTGGTCGGAAGGTTGTGTTTGCTGAGAGGGACTGTTGTCCCTGTCCCCACCTGAGGGACTCGGCGCTGCAGATCTTCAGTCTCACCCTGAGATAGAGACCCAAGGGAAGTGAGGAGTGACATGCAGAGGACCAGGATAGCCTTTGCACCACAGTGACCTAAGCAGAGGTGCGGCAGGACCGTGCTGCCTTGGCAGCTAAGGCTGGATGCCGCTGCCCCTGTTTGCTCCTCCACCCTGGGGTGCAGCTCTTAGCTAGGGGGTAGTTGTTTCCACCCTATGGGATCAAGAGGGTATACTGCAGGTGTAGAGGAGCACACCAGCATTGTGCCTGGCCTATGGTAAGTTGTCATCCACGGAGACTCCTGCAGGCCCAGCCCAGTACTCCGCAGCCAGGTGGCCTGTAGATGACCAGGAAGAGAGACAGGGCAGACTCACCCAGGTCACTACCTTGAGCCTATGCCTTTACCTTCTGGGAACCTGAGAAAGGTCCCTAAAAGCAGTGGGCCTGGAGCACCCATGGGTCTGTCAAGATAAGGGCACCACCTCCAAACCTAGCAGGCTGGCCACGTGACCGGGCCTTCCCCTTGCTGCTTCTCTTCCCTCCACCCCAGAGGACAGCATCTCTTACCTGCATTGGCCCTTCTACAGTATTGCCAGGGGATGAGTGGGGAGGGAGGGGATTTCACCATTGCTGGGAGTGCTTGCATGGAGACTGATGAATTGCTGAGGAGGAAGTGACAGCTGGTTCATGCATCAGGTCAGGAATGAGCTCTTCATTTCCCTTTTGATTCTTGAAACAACTTGGCTCTTTGGACTCAGAAGGACTTAGGAGAGGGGTTATAATACAGGCTTTGAACCAAGATAGACTTGGAACCAGAGATGAGCTAGGACAAGCCTTCTCACTTTGAACCTCAAGCTTTGTCAGTAAAGCGACAGTGTTGGGAAGCCATCCTCTAGCAATTGAGCTGGAACCAGGCAAGGCTTAAGCTTTTGAATGGATGTGATTTCCCAACTGGCCACTTGGGGGAGCGCTAGGAAAGGCTTTGAATGCTGCTAGGAAAGGCTTTGCATCTGTGTGTGCTGTCCAACGCAGCAGGGACAGCGACAAGATGGCTTGCCCATTGTTTCTTTCAGAACCCTGGTTGGCCCTCCCTGACTAGCCTGCCTCAACTTCAGAGGGCCACCCCCAGGCTAACCCTTGCAGGCCCAGCACAGCCCGCCCCAGTGTTCTCTGTCCCAGCCCCCAGCTGTGGGAAAAGGTATCTCTCTGAAGCGGGGCTCTGGGATGCAGATGCTGTCGATATACACAGAGCCAGGCTGATGTCTTAAGACCTAGAAGTCCTAGCATCATCTTACCTGCCTACCCCCTGCAGGAGAAA